AATCTTCATAAAAGGGCAGAGTTTCATAATGCTTTTCCAAGATGTGTTCGTGTGAGGTGGTCTCAATCAGAGCCGGATTATACCTTTCGTAGGCCCTAGGCATAGCCGTTCTTGGGCCCTCCCCTCCTTCCCTCTTTTCTAAATATATATGCTAAAATTTTCTTGCATATTTCTTTTACATTTTTATTAATATGGATTTTAATTTACAAATTTGCTTATCGAACTTTATCTGCATTAACTTAATCTACGTTTGGCATCGCTCGCACTTATGTCTATTGAATACGACATTTTGCGTAGTTTGGAATTCGACAGCATAATACAAGATTTCGTTGAATCCAAAAATCGCAAAAAAGTAATATATTAGATCATAAGGTTCTGAAAAATAATTTATTACCGAAAAATATTATATTTTTATTTGTATCTTCATAATTTTGAGCAAAATACACTTGTTTTTAAAGCTAAATTATTTTTGTCAACAAATTTTTCTTTCCCAAGTTTTTCGTAGGCCCCTGAATTTCGTAGGCCATAGGCACGTGCCTAGTGTGCCTATAGGTTAATCCGGCCCTGGTCTCAATTACAAGATTACAAAGTTGAACAATTGGAACCACACGTCTGCGAAACACATTTATACTTTATTCGTAATAAATATAGTAAACAGAAGAATTCTTAGAACATATTTTTGAAATCCTTTTCTAATATGAAATGGAAAAAGTATAAACTTGATTTAAGATGAGATAATTTAGGAGAGAAAAATTAAGAAAGATATAAAAATTTAGTGAATCACTATCGTGAAAGGCTGGGACAAAGAAAACCAAAATTGTTTGATCTTTGAGAGGGGACAGTGAGAGGTTGAAAGGCGCATACTAGAAACACCTCAAAATTTCATACAGCAAGAACTGGTTTTGATATTTTTCTTACCGCCTTCCTTACTAGCGATCGGACAGATTTCAACAACGTTTTTGTTTCTTCCTCTCTTTAATATTGATTTGAAAAATCTAAGTTATATTCTTTTATGACATCTATTTCAACATGTATTCTAAAAATATTTTTTAAGGGAGGTGATTACGGAACACCTTTGTATATCAGCTGTTCAACACTGTAAGGAAAAAAAAAGCATACTTGTAATTCATAGTTTATTTTGTGAAAATCAAAATAAAATTTAAGACAGCATGTTTAGGGTTGTTTCATACAGAACGACATATATTTTCATGTAGAAGTAATAAATACGAAATGACTAGAATTATAGAATTATTAAGAAAATGATTCGAATTATTTTTGAGCAAGTTGAAGGATTTCGAATTAAACATTTAAAATATTGTAATGATTAATTTAATTATAAATAATAGTTCGCATGGCAATACATACTAGCATTATAGTAAATAATCGAAGGGATATTTCCTGACTTCAACTCATTTCTAGAAAAAATTCGTACATGGGTGGTCTGCACCCAGATGTTAGCTTCCTTAAATTACCACATTTTTCTTGTGTTATTTTTAAGCTGTCAAAATGGGTGAGCTGCAGCTTGCAAACCCTTTATCTCCCCCGGTCCCTTTACTGAGAATTCGATACTTACTTGTAACTTTGACATCGTGGAAGGAAGAAGGAGGTGACTTGCACGTCAACTTAGGAAACGAATCATGTGAAAGACATTTATAATATTGAAAAAAGAAAAGAAAATTCATGAGTGAAATTTTTTTGTTTTACCGTATATCTTGGTGTATTAGTCAATCCGTTGTGTAAGTCGACCTCCTATTTTCGATTATTAGATAGTAAATTCCTAGTATGTCCAGTGGCTGATCCAGCGGGGGGGGGGGGGGGNGGGGGGGGGGGGGGGGTCATAGAACTCATGACCCCCCTCTAATTGAAAAAAAAAATTATAAGTTTTGTAATAGTTTACAAAAGAACTAAATTATTTAAGGGGGCATATACACCTAGGTAGGTTGGAAAAGCGATTTTTTTCCATCTAATTATGTTCTTCACTGTTTCAAGAATCATAATCCAAAAGATTAAATCGAAATTCGTCATAGTTTCATTGTAAACATTACATGAAACGTCTCTCTCCGACGTCTCAAAACTTGACTTAGAGCAAATGAAAATCAAGAACGATTAAATGGACTCGCATTATTAAATATTCATCGAGAAATTGATTTGGATGTTGAAAAAATCAATGACAGATTTGCCAAAGTTTCTAAAAAAAGCGTTACATTTATTATTTAAAGATTCTGAATTCTCCATGTAAACAAATACGGGTTAGTTCCAAAGAATTTCGAATTTTTTGAATGTCAGTGAAAGCGATTTTTTCTAAGACTCAGCAGACGAATATGAAGAATCCATAGCAGAGTGAATAAATAGATGCGTATGGCAACACTTCTAACTCTACTGAATCCGACACAGATGATGTTCTGAAATCTTTTAAATTTGTAGCGTTGGGCTATATTTTAAAAGTTTTCATTGTAATATATTTTATCAAATTCTCCTGAATAAATTGTCCTAACTTATCTTATTCTTAATTTCTTCTGAATGGAATTTAAAGTATTGTTTTTAAAAAACAATTCATTCATTTAATGAAAATATGATGAGAAATTAATTGCATACAATATATTAAAAATAGTTTTTGGAAGGGGTAATTTGTAATGATATAATGATTAAGAGATATTCATATCTATCTCATTGTTTATAATGCATAGCTATTTCACGATCGACGAATGTCCGACTTTATTACCGGTGTATACAAGTCTTCCCTCCGTTTTTCGTCAACTTTGGCGGGGGTTTGAAAAGTCAACTTATACACGGATATATACGATATTTAAAAATATTAAAAAAATTAAACAAAAAAAAAAATTTAAAAATTAATTCGAAAATGAGATTTCGAATGACTTGAATTTTTCGATTGTCTGAGCAAAACTAAACTCTATTTGACATTGCATAAAATTAGCTAGAGGACATTCAAATACTATATGTAATCACATTATAAATACTATACGTAAACTAGAGTGTTCGCTTTCCAAAACGGGGTTCGAATCCCAGCAATGGCTGGTCGATACGAATTCCACACCCGGCTCGCACTGCCGACAATGCTGACGTAAAATATCCTCAGTGGTAGACTGATCATGGGTTAGAGTCCCCATGCCGTCGAACTAACCATGGAAGGTTTTCGCGGTTTTTCTCTCCATATAAAGCAAATGCGGGTTAGTTCTATCAAAAAGTCCTCCACGGAAGCAAATTTACTCCAATGCTTGATCGAAGAGTTCCCTTGTCTTCTGAATTGGGTTCAAAATTACAAGGCTGCTGAGTTGAACATTGGTAGTCGAAAACCCAAAATTGGGTCGGCTGTTCAACTCAATGACGATTATAATTATTGTATACGTAAACTATAAGTGCGAAATTACGAAATAGTCATGTGAATAAAGTTGCAGGGGTAACTCAGAAAGATGATTATTTATTCAATTTATCCTAGATAAAACGAAGACTCTATCAGTGAAGAGCGTGAAAAATATTCATTAAAAGTTTTTTTTTCGGTAGTGGGTCAGCTTAAGAATAATTTAGTATACCTTTTATTAACACGTTCACTGAAATTTAATTTATTTATCCGGTTAACATATAAGATAAACAGGTGATCAGGTTACAAAACTTTTACACTTTTTCAATTATTTGAAATAAATTTAGTTCTTGATCACGGAGGTCAACTTAGAAGTTTGGTCTACCTGACAGGCTTTATCGTACATAGTTATGAACATTGGCACATTTTATAACCGTTTATAATATTTTATCAGCAAATTTTGACAATATTATATGTAATAAGAAAAAAAAAGGTGCTGAAATGTTTTCAGACTCTTTTCCCACTGCTAAATTACTAAAGAAGAAAGTATATGTTGGAAGCTCACATTCTGTGAAAAAACAAATTGATTTCGTAACTAATGTACTATATGTAGTTTACGTATGACAACCTATTTATGATTTTTGTTTTCTTTCTATTTTGAACTCTTCTTAAAAAACTATCTCCCTTTAATCTATCACGAACTTTTACAAAAATTTAATTTTTCCTTTCTGCATTTTCTTAAAGCTTTTAGAGTCCAAAACAAAGTGTTAAAATAATTTTCTGAAACTCCAACTACGGAGGTAATACAGTAAACAATACAGAGATGAAAACAATTTACTGAATAACATACTCTGTTTATTTATAGTGAATATAAGTTTATAATTTTAATAAAATGTTCTTGAATACGAATTAGACGTAGTAATTTCCCGTTTTTTAAGTATATAATGTTGATATCATTAAGTTTTACTGTATATTTTACCTACATAATTATATTATCACACCTACATAACTTATGTCGTAATGCGACACTAATCTTAAAATTTCATCTTTCCATTTTTATTAATTAACATAAAATAATGAATAACTATATTTATTGATTATTATCATGTGATGATAATATAATAGTTTAGATTTTATTTTTGAAGCTATCGTGTTACTCCACAAAATTCTAAATACAAGTAATTTATAAAAACGCTATCACCGGAAATTTTTTTAAAAAATAAGATGTTATGAAAAGTATAATTATATTTTCATTCATTGTGCCGTAAATGTTTTTAATAAAAATGTCATATATTTTTAAAAAAATAATTTTAATAATATTTTAGCGATGATGCATGTTTCAAAATTATCGAATTTTTAACACACCGCGATTGCACGAAGCACAGAGATGATTAACGAGAACGTTTATTCGTTCAATAGATTATGATAAAATAATAACGAACACGAAGTAACGATCAATTATAGTTTCAAACAGTGGAGATTTTTTTGTTAAATCTGTTCGTTTTACAACTGAAACGATTAACTTATCATTAATTATTTTTAAAGAATTTTTTATCAACGTCGGTGTTCAACTCCATTTGGGAAATAGAACACTGCAAGATCAAGAATCCGCCAACGACTATCACAAAATCTACGCCAAGATATTTTCGCGCCAACCAATGTAAACACGGCAACCTCGATCTACACGCCGAGTTCCCCGCTCCTTCACTCACATCAAATGAAAACACCGAAGCATTGTAAACGGAGCGGTCATTGAATGCTTGAATGAGTTACCCATGGAAACCATCAATGACTCTCAGAAATGCAGCATGTGAGTTTCCAGATAAAATGACCACTAGGATTTCTTCTTGAATTATTTCCATCACACCTGTGTTGCAGTAGGATTGCAATCCGCGGCGTAAATACGAGGTGTGCCGGTGCGGTTTTTTACCTACCATGAAATTCAGCCAGAGGCACTAATATCAAACTGGTCTACGGCGGTAGGTGGTAATACTACCGAAAAAACTACGCCAAGTGACCGTGTGTTGTTTCTGTTGCTTTGACTCTTCTACCTTTTTTGGATTATACTTTGGGAAAGATAATTTTTATCTTTAACTAATTCTACGCGAGATGAAAGATTAGGATAAAAATCTGTATAAAGTGTCGGTACTTTTTTTAATTTATCGATCATTTTTCACTACGTAACTGAAAATGAATTGGTTACATGCAAAGAAACTAGTGCTTTAGAAATTTTTTCGGAAATATGACGTTTTTGCTAATGTTGTGACTGAAATAGGCAACTGTGCTAATGTTATTTTTAAAATAGGCAACTGTGCTATGGGTGCTGGGATGGTTAAAGGTGGTTCCATCCTTGATAGTTTGCCTCCAAACCAACCTCTCCACGTTGTCATGATCGGCCTGGACTCTGCCGGTAAAACAACAGCCCTGTACCGATTGAAATTTGACCAGTACATGAATACTGTGCCCACCATTGGTTTCAACTGTGAGAAAATTAAAGGCACCACTGGTAAAGCCAAAGGAACGAGCTTTCTTGTCTGGGATGTTGGCGGCCAAGACAAACTCAGGCCTCTCTGGAGGTCATATACTAGGTGTACAGATGGAATCGTCTTCGTTTTGGACAGTGTTGACAAAGAGAGGATGGACGAGGCGCGAATGGAACTGCTAAAAACTGTTCGATGTCCAGAAAATTCTGGAGTACCTATTCTAGTCTTAGCAAATAAACAGGACTTGCCGAATGCAATGGACCCAAAAGAGGTTGAAAAAGCACTTGGTTTACATGAGCTAGGCCCGAACGTTCTGTGGCATGTGCAACCTGCCTGCGCTATCATAGGAGATGGTCTTGACGAAGGGTTAGAAGCCCTGTATGAAATGATATTAAAACGAAAAAGACTAGCTAAGTTAGCGAAAAAGAAAGGAAGATAGGTTTCGTTCATTTTAGGTTTCATTTTACAATTAAAAAATTATTTATTTACTGTACAATGTGTCATCAAAACGAAAGGTAAATATGTGAATATTTTATTGCGTTGTTATAATTTAAAAATTCTATTATTTAGTTCTTGTCATATAAGTGTTTGGAAAAATATTGATAATTGCAATTTCTGATTCAAAATATTACTTATTTGCTAACTGCTCTTATTGTATTGTTTATTTTTATTATTATTAATAGCAATACTTCTGCTTCGGAAATACCGATTTTATCTGTTTATCATATTTTTAACAAGGGCTACAACCAGTAATATGCTAATTTGTAAAAGGAAAATATATCAGAATCTAGATCAGTGAGATTTGCAGGGAATTTGATCAAATTTTTTAGTTCTCCTTTATTTGGGAAATTTAGCGTTTGTTTATTTATTAATAATTTATTATAAATCTAATTTCTGGCAATCAAATTATTTTCAATTCTAATTCTTTTCTTCATTACTAAATAAACTTCTGTAGGTGATTTTAAACAAATTTTATATTCTTGCTCACTCCTTTAATTAATTATATATTGCTTGCTTATTTTATGTTAAATATTTTATTATGACTAATTTTTGGAGATATTTTTATACTTGTACCATTTCTATTCATATTTTGTTTCGCTAATATGCTTGTAAGTCAAAAATATTTTATTGTATATCATTAAATGAATGAATGTAGTATTATCTTGAAGTTACAAATTATTTTCTACTTACAATGTTTGTGTTGTTTACATATAAATTCTTAACTATTTTAAGTAAGTGTTTCATTTGAATCCCTAACATTTTCATTTTATTCAATGTTAAGTTATTTCAATTATCAAAAAGTTATTTTTTTTTTTAAAAATTGCAATCAAATTTGTGTAGAATATGATAAATGTGTTTTAAAAATAATTAAAAAGTATAAATTTTCTTAAAAATTTTTTACAGAAATTTGCCTATGATAAACAGTTGTATAATCTTGGATACTTAAAAGAAAAAATTTAGCTAGTAAAATTCTTAGAATTCATTAGTAGCATTTATTAAAATAGCTTATCTAAAAGGATCATCTTTATTAGTCAATTAATTTAATGTAATTTATTCAATTAATATAATTTATTTAATTAACATAATTTATATAGGCTAACTTCGATTTCAAAACACTAACTTGATAAGTTAAGTATAATTGTTAACATTCATTATAAAAATTGATAAATGCCAAACAGAGTTATAAAATAATTGTTATAATCATAATCTTTTTTTTTTAATATATATAATGCAAATTGAATTTAGCCATTTGGAAAAAATCAGTATCTTCTATCATTAATTTCTTTATTCTTCTTCTTCTTGGAGAAGTATGTCTCAAATAATCATTTGTTAATTTTGCAATATTGCTTATTTATATCAGCCAATTAATTAACCATAAATTGCAAATGCATGTTAATATTTTACGTTTTACTGTAAATAACTGTCAGTAAACTGAAGGTTAACTACCTTTTAGTTTGTCTTTGTTAAACGACCGTGACCAAAAGCTTTCTAAAACACATTTAAAATAATAATTTATGGCTATATTTCACGAAATTGAGGAAATTTTATTATTTACATCTGAATTTTTTTTTTCTTCTTCCTAACAAAATTAATATCTTTTTGTGGGAATCAGAAAGAATGGTATATTATGAAAGTGTGCGTCACGTAAAGTTGATTATTTATTGCTTACTTTTTTCTTTTTTGCTTACGTGACGCAAAGCTTACTTGAGCAGAGGGGAACGAACAACACTCTTTAGAATCCATTTTTACCTGTCAAGGTCAAAGTCGTCAATGTGCGATCTCCTGTTCAATAGGATAAGCTACTAGACGCGGTGTTATCTTTAGATCGTAAATCTTTCTTACAGATAGTTTTTTATAAACTTGTTTATGATAACACACAATTTTTTAAGATTTTCGCTAATTAAAATTATTATTTATTTAAATGTTCAATATTTTAATTCGAAAGAGGCGGTCGCATTACTATTTGTGGATTGTTAATCTTTGTTATTGTTAGTCTTTTGTAAATTTGTTCCCTTGTTTTTAAAAATGTTTTCACTAATTAAAAAAATTTTTTTGTCAGTGTTCAATACGAAAGTTGGACGCGATATCAATACTCTCTGTGGATCGTTAATCTTTGTTACCGATAATTTTTTGTTAACTTGTTTCTTATCACGCAGCTTTTTTAAACTTTTAGCTAAGTAAAACTATATATTTTTTTTTAATGAAAAATAAATAAATTAGACGTGGTCGCGTTGCTATCTGTGGATTGTAAATCTTTGTTACTCCTAAGTTTTTTTTTGTTCAGTTATTGTTGATAACACTTTAATTTTAGACAATTTTCTTTAAAAAAAAAATAATTTTGCGGTTGCGTTACTATCTGCGGATCGTTAATCTTTGTTACTCGTAGTTTTTCTAAACTTGTTTTTGGATAATACACAACTTTTTTAAATTTTCGCTAGATAAAATAAAAGTTTTATTTGGATATTCAATAAGAAAACATCAGGATGCGGTCACGATTCTATAAGTGTATCGTAAATTTTTGTTTTCGATAGTTTCTTGTAAACTTGTTTAAAAAGATAACACGTTTTTTATCTATTTATTTATTATTTTAATTTTCTCTAATTGGAGTTATTATTTTGAATATTTGTATTGTTAGTCGCACATTATGAGCAATTAATCGCACAAACGACGAAATTATATTGAATTACACAAAAGAAATGGGAAAACTGACATTTTTTGTTCATTTTATTTTGTAGTGTTGTTTAATTGCCATTTAAGCTTATTTACTTTCTAAAACAATTTCCCGATTATTTACCAAGTTGCATTTTTATCAACATCAAGCACTGACTTTTTTCCCCTAGATATTATTCATGCATTTCAATTTATTATTATCATTTTTTTTTCTCTAGTGTCCTTCCTTTTTAAGAAATAATAATTGATTAAAAGTTAATTTTTTTCTAATTGCATAATTTTTTTAATTTTTCAGTGACATATATTCCTCTGGAATTTGGTTATTAGTAATACACATTTTTTTTTAAAAATGACTGATGATTAATTTGTTAAAATGTTTTTTATTTGTTAGTTCTGTTTCAAATATTTTTTTTGTTTAAATTGTACCTTGATAAAATATTGAATCTTTAATTAAATTCTGCGGAAAAATATCTTTAAATCAACTTTTATTTTGACAAACATTCATAAAAAATACTTATTTTTCCTAAGCATAGTGCAACAATACATGTGCAGTAACAACTTTTTTCATATGTTAGCTAATAAATAGTTGAGATCTGAGCATAGCAAAGTAGGAATTCAAATGAATAATAATAAGTTCTGAAACTTTTATGTTTAAAAAGAATCTCCTTAAAAAATTTTAGAGAACAAAATATGCTATTACAATTTACTTTGAATTCCATTCTGGTTTGATCAATCTTAAAAAATAAATTATTGACAAAAGTAATAAGTATAGCTATTAATAAATTAATACTAAAGAATAAAATAAAATAATTAATAAAATACTTTAGTTTTAAATGTTTAGCCTTTTTTACTAATTATTGCTATCGTTTATCTGCTTTGATCCGCATATTCTGATGTGAATATGAATTTTTATATAAAAGGAGTGTTTTTGAATTCATGTAGTAATTTTCCATGAAAGATCAAACTGTAGTTTAAATATTGAAAAAAAAATTGTTTTCATCTTTTTACCTTTCTTAAAGCTTTTTCTGAAATTTAAATACAGTTTTTTAATGCTAATTAAAATTTTCCTACAAATATTGCCTACTTAATAAAATATCTTTTAGTTTCAGACACATTTTTAAGCATTATATTTGAAGGCATCAATTTTAATAATTCTAAATTTTATCTTTTCTATTTATTCCATAATTTTTTTTTATTTTTTTTTAATCTTGGTCTTATTATAACTAAGTATTTTTTAGCCTGGTACATCCTAAATTTAGTGAGGGAATTTAAAAGGGCCTTAAACATATTAATCTTGATTTAATTAGTAATTCCTCCTGTTTCAGACCTAAAGAAATGAATTTTTTTTTAATCAGTTTGTATTCTTTCTAATTTTGCATTATTACATGATGTATTTGTTTCATATTGTATTGATACTAATTAAACAAATTATTGCCTGTAAAATGAGTTGAATATTTTAGTTTTTCTACTATTTTTCTATTGCTATTTTTTCGCTATATTTTTTGTGCTCTTCAGATGTTTTACAAAATTTAAAGTTTTCTTATTTGTTTGTTTTTAATGCAGAGCAGATCTGCAGTTTAATGTCAAACTAATGGAAAAAGTTAACATTTTTGTATAGCACTATTAATGAATATATATATAATATGCATATCGGCATATTGTATTAGATTTAAATAAATAAAAAAATATCAGCGAAAACAATCATTTAGTGGTTTTATTAAGGTACAATAACTCTATTGAAATTTCATAAACTAATCTGCTACTGCTGTTGTATGTATTGTATATGTACTTAGTTGTAATGCTTGCTTTTCTACAAAAAAAAAATATCTTTAGTTGATTAAATATTTTGTGTTCAAAATCCAAGTTTTGATGATTTCTCCCAAATTGATTTCAAATTTTTTAAAAATAGATTTTAATTTATTTTTAAGCAGATTTTTTTAATCATTCAAATTCCATATAATGTGAATTTCTTTAATAATAAAAATTTTTTTTTACCAAAATTGAAAAATTTTTAAAAGTTAATAAAATTTTAAAAAATTTAAAATATGCCATTCAAATAATTTTTATTCATGTATGTCAGTTACTAGTGAAAAAGTTGAAAAAAATTTATGAATTATAAACTTTATTCTTAGGCTTAGTGGATGTCATAAATATTTACTAACATTCAAACTTAATTCATTTTTGATAATGGTATATATACATATACACTTTAGATATTGTTAAACACTTCTTTTTATTGTTAAAATTCATTAATATAATATTTAAGATTATTTAAATGAAGTATTGAAAATAATTTTTATTGAATGAATAAAAAGAAGAATTTATTACTCAATATCATTTTATTTATTTTGGATTTGTCATAGAATATCATCCATCTCCAAATTATATTCAAAATTGAAAATTCAAGTTTTTTTTATTTGAAATTGTTTAAAGCAATATTAAATGTTAAAGTTTATCTAAAATAAAGTTGTGCATGTATTTACCAAATGAGTTATAGTTAGATATCAAATTGATGAAGCCAAGTTGCATTTTATGTATATAGGTTAACTAATTGTACAGAAATTGAAAAATATTTTGTAGATATAAATATTGCATGACATAACTTATTTTCTTGTATGCTGTTGTCTTACTTTGCCAAATGAATTCTATGAATAAAATGTGATAGAAAAATTGTCTTTTTTCTTGTTATATAATATCATATATTGATCTTTAAATATTTCAATAATCTTTTGGATATGGATAAATATCGCAAAGGAATTTGTTAAGAGGCCTCGCCTTCGTGGTCTTGGAGTTAATTTTTTTTCTTCTCAATTTAACAAACTTTTTATGGTATAGTTGATGGTTTTCGTCAGCACAATACCTTTGAAAAATAGTCTTAAATAAAGGGAGACGCTTTATTATATTAAGAGGAACACCGATCGGTTATATGGTGGTTAAGGAGCTCGCTTCAAGTCGAAAGATCCCTGGTTCGTATCCCGGATAAGGCATGGAGTTTCTATCTTTCTCTTTTGACTATCTGCTCTTACTGTGGGAGCAACGTTGGCACACCTACTATGGTACCCCTGTCTGTCTGATACCCAAATGACGAAAGTCAATATCCATGTGGGCATTAGGGTGGGGGGGGATAAGGAGAAATNGAGGGGGAGTTGATAAGGAGAAATAGTGCTTATAACTTTTGGAACTTCTATGATTTTTTCTTCATATATCTTTAATGTAAAGTTATGTAATTTCTGGTTGTGAGTAAGTAATTTAAAAGTATGCATTTTTTTTAGGATTTTTAAAATGTAATTTTATTACAGTTAAAACTGACGAAAACCAATTTAGATGATACTAAAAATTCTTTAGACTTTAAATTGCGCAAAAATAACGATATTTATCAATAATTTATAAAAGATAAATGTATACTCTTTAATTACCTATCAAAATTTGCAGAACTGTATTGATAAAATTTTGTCAGAAAAAATTATAAGCTAATCTTAAATATCGCACTCATATCTTTCAGCGTCGATCTTCCTTTTTACATGTATCGAAAAATACTGTCGAGTTAAGTAGAAATCCCCCATCAATTTATGTGTGAAAATTTAAAAAATATAATTATTAAGTAATTCTTAATTTAATTTGAATATTTCTATTAATCGATAATACTATTAGAAATCTTAAGATTTAAAATTAAGAAAAACAATCAGAATTAAATTAAGATCTAAAATCTTCAGAATGAATTGGCAGACTTTCTGCAAAATTAGGCTTAAAAAGTGGGTCAATTGCCTTCAGATTTCATCTTCAGGATGAAACTTTAAGATTTTCCAAAAAATTTAGGTTTAAAAAAATGGGATAAATACTTCCAGAAATTATTTTCTTTAGAAGACTTGGAGAAATTAGCTTATATACAAATTTTCATTCTTTTTTTTTTCTTGAGAAAATTACGCATACATTGTAGGTTCAAAGATATTTGTATTATTAAAAAAAACTTGTTTTTGTTTTGTTTTGTTAAATGCACCAAAAATATGTATTATCGCTGAAATGGTATAATTACCATCAGTTTCATCAAATAATTTGATAAAAAATTGACTGTCATCAAATGGTTTTAATATCATCAGTTTTATTACCATTGAATTTAGAAAAGTTGATATTTTCACTCATGTTGAATAAGTGTATTTAACATGAAGCCAAATGAGAGAGAATTTACATATATGCATGTAGGAAACAGTTTTTTTTCTTCTAAACGTTGAAATCTTCTTTAATCTGAAGAATATTGGAAGACTAATTTCACTTTTGTTTCTTAATTAATGTCTTCAAAAAGTCTGCAGATATTTAAAAAAAAAAAGTTAAGTCTTCAAAGTGACTGAAACGACTAAAAAATCTATTGCAGATATTTTAAAGAAAAAGTAAAATCTTTAAAATATCTTTTAAAGATTTCAGAAGAAAATCTTATAAAAAGAACTTTTTCTGAAGATATTTTAATATATTTTTAGTGAGGTGTTGATTACTGGACGTTCTGTATAAAAATTGTAGCAATACATTTTGAGATAAGCTATCATCACATATTTGAATCATGGAATTAAAGATACGATAAGTAGTGTTCTCCAAAGGTAGTTTTTTTCAGTTTCTTTCTTATTTTGCCGTTATTGTTCTTAAAACAACGAATCCCACCACTTCGATTTTCTTATTCAGGATAAGTGCATGAGCTTTCTCTGTTCCTATTGTTGGAAACGGAAGTTATGCAAGCTTGATCTTCGTATTCTTTCGAACCGCAACAAGATCCCAAAACAAAATCCTTTCTTATCTTCCAATATCGTCTGAGAAATCGTATTTCGAACGCAAACATAAAAAGCTCTCGAAAATTTATCTTGCAAATTCCATCCGAATTGCCCGTGCCTGAAATGTGAGTAATGCAACTTCAGGGTAAGATACTTTCCCCTCTTGATTTTGAAAGAAAAGGGATTATTTGATAAGGAACAAAATTGCAACAAGGATTTTATCTGTTTGTTTTGTATCGCAAATTCTTAACATGTCTATGCACCGAAAAAACTCTTATATCTTAAGAAAAGAAAAATTTTTTTTTGATTAAAATGTACTATTCGTGTTTTTGTACATTATAATTTTATAAATATTTCGCGAAATAACTTACGTCTTAAGGAAATGTATTTAATATTTATCTTATTTCGATGTTACATCATAATTTAATGCTGTGAAACATATGTAAATTGACCATTTATTAATGGTCAACTTATAGAAGAGATAAGTTATTGTTTTTTTTTTAAAAAATTCTTTTCTTCTATTATATTATGCCAATCTTATGTATTTCCAATCAAAAGCATAATATTTTTTTAACGGGTCTTAAGTGTTTTATATAGCAAATACTCACACATCTTATGAAATGAGATTATTTAGAAGAATGGTGTTCAATGCTAAAAATAATTTTTTTTTTTTAAAAAAAAGGGGGGGGGGGAATAAATCACCCTGTAAAACTTTATCGGATCTTCACGTAGTAAGATTCATTCTTAAAGGTCTGAGGAGGTGACCTTAAGTATGCTAATTAATGAGTGCAGACGATATTTTAAGTAAACAAATCACAATAAAACGTACTTTCTGAATGCCCTTTTTTTCGACGGATTAAATTTTCTGACTCTCAAAACGTCCCAAAGTTTGGACCCCTTAATGTAAGTTTTACTTTTTGCATATTTCACCGTGTAATTTTTTAAGTGAATGAAAAAACGTTTGCACACAATTAAAAAAATTTTTTACTTCCTTTCAAAAAAATTTTAATAGCCATGTGTTTTTTTTTTATTATTTTATTTAATAATAGTCGAAAAAAGTTTGATTTACAAAATATACAAATAATTTTTTAAGACTAAGTACAAATTTCTTAAAAAATACTTTATGTAATGGTTTCTGAGAATTCGAATTATTTCTCGGCAACTAACTATTCAATCGAATTCGTTCAAATTTTGTATCTTGCCTTAAAAATTGCATTCTTAAAAATGATGTGGACATTATTGGTATACCTTACAATTCAAAATATTTCGACTATTATTAAATGAAGAAAAAAATAATAAGTAATTATTAAAATTGATTATAGAGTTATCTGGATATACGTATTTTATAATTGTGTGTAAGCATTTTTTGATTCGCTTAAAAAATTTCCGAAATAAAACGAAATTTGCACTAAGTAAAATTTACATTTGCAGATCCAAACTTTGAACCACTTTTCTGACCAAACTATTGCGGCCGCCCCCAATATTATGAGAGACAGAAATCCAATCCGTCGAAAAAAAGAAAATTTATTCAGAGAAAGTACGTTTTTTCGGCTTGAAATACTATTTGCACTAATTTATTGACATATTTAAACATAGGCCCTCGAACCATTAAAATTGAGTCCTAGTATATGAAGATCGGATGATTAGATGAAAAGTTATTCGTGGTGGGTTTTTATATCGCACTGTGCAGTGTACAATTTGTTGAATGAATTTAATGTTAGAAAAAAAAACGTACATTTATCTGGTTGGTTTTAAAAGAAACAAATATACATATTCTGTTAATGAAGCATCCCAATCAAAAATTAAAAATAAATTTGTAAAATATCAGCTT